GTCAAAGAAAGAAGCAAGGCTCAGACCTTCCCTCCAGAAGTACACAGAGCCCAGTCCTAACACCAAGCCCCAAAGTCAAGAATGAAGGTTGGAAGAATGAGCAAATAACAACAACAACAACAAAAATCTCACTATTACGGAGACAAGAATACTCAAGACTCAAACCCAGAAGAAGAAATTGACTCCAAAACATTTAAAAGCAAAGCCTGGATGCAAATCTAACTAGAATTTCTAGAAAAGGTAAGGCAAGAATTTTTTTTTAAAGTTTAATATGTTAAAAAAAAAAAAAAGGAGGGGAAGGAAGGACCCACATGTACAAAAATATTTATAGCAGCTCTTTTTGTGGTGGCAAAGAATTGGAAATTGAGGGGATGCCCATCAACTGGGAATGGCTGAACAAGTTGTGGTACATGAATGTAATGGAATACTATTGTTCCGTAAGAAATGGTGAGCAGGACTTCAGAAAAACCTAGAAAGACTTGCATGAACTGATGCTGAGTGAAGTGAGCAGAACCAGGAGAATGTTGTACACAGTAACAGCCACATTGTGTGATAACTAACTTTGATAGATTTAGCTCTTCTCAGCAACGCAAGGACGTAAGACAATTCCAAAAGACTCATGATGGAAAATGCTATCCACATCCAGAGAAAGAACTATGGAGTCTGACTGTCGATCAAAGCATACTATTTTCTTTTTTTTGTTTTGTTTTTTTTCTTTCTCATGGTTTTTCCCTTTTGTTCTGATTCTTCTTTCACAACATGACTAATGCGGAAATATGTTTAATATGATCATACATGTATAGCCTATATCAGATTGCATGCCATCTTGAGAAGGGGGGAAAATTTAGAACTCAAAATCTTATAAAAGCAAATGTTGAAAACTAAAAATTAATTAATTAATTAATTTTTAAAAACCAAAGGGTGAGCAACAATATTGGCTACATATTAGTATATGACAAAGCTGATGTTGTTTTTCATGATCTTGAGTTCATTTCTCTTGCTTTGATACCCACTGGCATATTTGCTTATTGTTTATTCACCATTTATTAAATGCTTACTGTGAAAACAATTAATAAATGGAAGCAATCTACTGACCCATTTATTGGCAGGCAGCATGCCCCGTTAATAAATGTTATCATGTACAAAGATTTGCCTCACTTTACCTTTTTGTCAAATTTCACTCAAGACACTTCCTTGGTTTAGGAACATGTTGTTCTTTGTTTAAGAAAATGCTCGTGTTTACTTATGTTTGTTAAGTTCATACTAATGAAAAGGGGCTTTTTTGTTTGTTTTTAAATGAAAACTCCCTGAGGACAGGGGACTGTATCTCTTTTGTATCTATAGTACCATTATTTTGAATGATACCGAGCACATAGTAAGTATTTAATAAAAAGCTTTTTGCATTCATTCATTCATTTAAAAAAAAAGAATTTTCAAAAAGTTTAAACTGTTCTTACACATGAGGACACTAGAGGAAAAGGAATGAGAGCTATGGAAGAAAGAATTGAAAAGGAAATTAACAGCCTGGCACAAAAGTTACAAAACTTTGCCCAAGCAACAAACTCCTTGAAACTTAAAATGAACCGAAGAGATGTCAATGACACCATGAGACCACTATAAATATTAAAATCAAGTCAAAAGACTGAAAAAAAAAAGAAAATTTAAGATATTTCATAGCAAAACAACTGACCTGAAAAACTGAACAAAGAGAAAAAAATTAAGAATTACTGGACTATGTGAATGCTATGACCAAAAAGAAAAAAAAAAAAAGCCTAGCCATCACATGTCAAGAAATCTTAAAAGAGGGGCAGCTAAGTGGCACAGTGGATAGAACTCTATCTTCAGAAAATCCCAAGAACATTACAACCAAAATGCAGAGCTTTCAGGTCAAAGAAATGATCGTGCAAGCAGTCAGAAAGAAAGAATTCAAGTACTATAGAGGGAGTCTAATTAAACGAGGCCTGACAGCAGTTCTGTGAGGTTTTGATGATCTTGAGAGAATATAAAGAAAGGGGAGGGGAGAGGGAAAATTCTCTCCCATAATCAGGGTGCAGAAAGAGTCTATATAAACACGGAGTTGTAGGGAGCAGCTGACACTTGAATCTCACTCTCATCTGAACTAATCAAAGGAGGAAAGAAAACACAGAACAGGCTACAGAAACTCATTTTACTCAACAGCAAAAGGGGGGGGGAGGGGAAACAGGAGAATTAGGAGGGTAAATCAAGGAAGGGATTAGCCCCTAAGCAATACACACCCTAAGGATGAACAAAAATATAACGTTTTGGGCTGACAAAGAATGGGAGAAGGGATGTCCATCAACAGAGAAATGGATGAATGAGTCACAGTAGATGAATGTGCAATTGTAGTTGAGAAATTAAGGAGATGGTTTCAGAGAACCCTGGGAAGACTAGTATGAACTAACCCCAAGTGAAGTGAGCAGAACCGGGGAACAATGTCCACGACATCATCAAAACCAACAACTCTAAAAGACTCAGGAATTCTGATCAACACCTGACCAACCATAACAGAAGACACATGATAATGAAACCTACAGACCACTTCAGGGAGAGATGGCAGACTCCGAGGGCAGGCTGAGGTATATATAAGTTTGGGGGACATAGCAAATGCATGAATTTGTTTTGCTTCGCTATACATGTTTTTAACAGTTTTTGTTTTCTTACTGTCTCAGAGAGGGAGAAGAGAAAGAATTTGGAGCAGAAAATAAAATTAAATAAAGAGGGTTTTGTTTTAAGAAATGATGAAGCAGGGGCAGCTAGGTGGCACGGTGGATACAGCAATGGCCCTGAAGTCAGAAGGACCTGAGTTCAAGTTCAGCCTCAGACCAAACACACTTACTAGCTGTGTGACCCTGGGCAAGTCACTTAATTCCAATTGCCTAAAAAAAAAAAGAAAAGAAAAGAAAAGAAATGATGACGCTGATGGTTTCAGAGAAATATGGGAAGACTTGTAAGAAATGATGTAAAGTGAAAAAAACCAGGAGAACAATCTATACAATGAAAACAATATGATAAAGTCAAACAACTTTGAAAGACTAAGGGATTCTGATCAGCATAATGACCAACCATGAATCTAGAGGACTGATAATGAAATATGCTATCCACCTCTGAGAAAGAGGTATAGAATGGGATGTATGTATGTATATAGTACATGTATTACATGTATCATATGTGTGTGTTGTCTATGCTTATATAGTTTCCCCCTTTTGGATATGTCTGATGTGGAAATTTGTTTTGTTTGATTATACATATTTGTAATAGAGGTTTTGTTTTGGTTTTTTTCCAGTCTCAATTGGTGGATGACAGAGAAGACAGACTTTTGTTGACTGAAAAAAATAAAATTTAATTAAAAAATAGTAACAAACCACTTCCTTGGGATGCTTTCCTCTGTCATTATCCTATTTCATCATCATATGAGTTATGCCCAATGGGGTGTGATCCTTCTGAAATGCGAAAGACTTCTATGACCAAGTATCTTCAGTCCAAGGGGAAAGAGTCTCAAATCAATTTTCAACATGAGTTCAGTCAAGCTGGTGCTTCTTGAACTATGAGGGAGCAGAAGGAAGGTTTCCTTTTTCTTCTTAGGAAATCAGTCTTTAAAAAATGATCTCATCAGTGGAGTTCTTTCACTGATTGTCTTTCCTTCAAGGGTTTATAAATATTAATCTCACCACCTGGGTTGAGTATTTCATAAACATATTTTGATTAATGAAAAGCTCCTTCATCTCCACAGAGTACATGCACACATCATCTGATGTGGCAGGAAAAGTTTGCCAAAATTTATCTCTAGCAACCACCATTCCAGGGTTAAAACCCAGAGGCCCCTGTGGAAGTGAAACCCCTGGGCAGGGCGGTACTACCCTCACAGAGGGTACAAGTGTATCAAAGGCCTCCATTCCCATTTTATTAAGCAAGGTGAGGTTTGGTATGCAAGACACAACAGTCAATGACTACAGTAATCTACTATTTGATAAATCCAAAGACTCCATCTTCTGGGATAAGAAATCACTACTTAACAAAAACTACTGGGAAAACTGGAAAATAGTATGGCAGAAATTAGGCATAGACCAACATCTTATACCCTATACCAAGATAAAGTCAAAATGGGTACAGGATTTAGATATAAAGACTGATACTATTATAAGCAAACTAGGAGAGCAAGGAATAGTTTACCTATCAGATCTATGGAGAAGGGAAGAATTTATGACCAAACAAGAGATACAGAACATTATGATATGCAAAATGGATGACTTTGATTACATTAAATTGAAAAGTTTTTGCATAAACAAACCCAATGCAACCAAGATTAGAAGGGAAGCAGAAAGCTGGGAAACAATTTTTATAACCAGTGTCTCTGATAAAGGCCTCATTTCTAAAATATATAGAGAACTGAATCAAATTTATAAGAACATAAGTCACTCCCCAATTGATAAATGGTCAAAGGATATTCACAGGCAATTTTCAGATGAAGAAATTAAAGCTATAATCATGTGAAAAAATGCTCTAAATCGCTATTGATTAGAGAAATGCAAATCAAAACAACTCTGAGATACCATCACACCTATCAGATCTGCTAACATGACAAAACAAGAAAATGATAAATGCTGGAGAAGATGTGGGAAAATTGGAACACTAATGCATTGTTGGTGGAGTTGTGAAACGATCCAATCATTCTGGAGAGCATTTTGGAACTATGCCCAAAGGGCTACAAAAATGTGCGTACCCTTTGACCCAGCAATACTACGTCTAGGGCTGTAACCCAAAGA